CTTGTTTGGATTTTTCGCTCGATGTACTTGTTCCATTTAGTTAGGGGTTAAGTGGGGGTATTTGCATTTTAGACTGTTAAGTATAGACATTGAGGATGATTCTCGGGAGCGCAAAGATGTTATGCATCGCGACTACCTACACCTATTGAGAAGGTGGATTGATTTATGTATGTGATTATTTGTATGATTATATTTACATTTAACGCTAGAATGGAGGTATTGACACTTAACTTCTAATCATTTGGAACACATGGTATATATATGGGGGGTTCCTTGTTTAGATTTTTCACCCGACGTACTAGTTCCGTTTAGTTAGGGGTTAAGTGGAAATATTGGCATCTTAGATTGTTAAATGTAGATATTGCTATGTTCATATCTGGAGACTAATGATGCGAGATGTGTATGTGAGGGTTTCCTTGTCTAGATTATTCCCTCAACATGCTTTTCTGGCATTATTAATCTCTAAGATACGAATGCGGAATTTCGGGGACGAAATTCTTTTAAGGGGGGAAGAATGTAAAACCCCGTAATTTTGAATGTTGTGAGATATAATAATGAACATGTTATATTGTGATAAATAATGTTTATTGATATTTGAGTATGCTAGGAATTGATTTGAGATCAATTCGATACATATATGAATATATGAGTGCAAATGCACAAAACATGCACGAGAAAAATCTGGGAAAAATGACCAGTTAAGAGTTTATAAATTTTACACAATGATGCACTTAGAATCTGGGAAAACTCAAAAGACCAAAGTTGTAGGTATTTTCAACAGCTTTCCAACAAATCTTTAATCACCTCATTATGAGGTCGGATGAGAATGTTATCGCCAAAATACTATGTACAGATTTCAAAAACCCGTGTATTTCTTAGTAGTCGACTATCGGGAATTCCTGGACGTGCCAGGTTTCAGTTTTCGGGTTGGATTTGCATTGTATCCGAACCTAGTTGTTACCCTAACTATATATATTCGTTTTAAAGCTCTGATACCAACTTTGACATCTCTGGGTTCACCTCGGACTGCAGCCATGTGTGAAAACAAGGGCGTCACACCGTACTCCGGGCGGCCTACATAGACAGGTGGATTCACAGGTAGGATTTCATACAAGATACGAGAGACATAGCTATTGACTATACCGCGTATATGCGTTGGTATTGGGATGTCACACATAGATGGATCACGCGTGACCCACAACCATCAGCTGGACACTTGCCACGCCCACCGACAGATAGTTACATCCCAAGTGGGATGATCGAGAGAGATTATGTAAGTTTCTAAGCTAAATTATAACTGTAATTTTTTATTAAGATGTTATTTGCTAAATTGTGTATATATTGTTTAACTCGCAGGTTCGTGCTTTTGATAACATTGAAGATGAGATTATGAGCACATGCCTGAGATTCAGGATCCGGCGGCGTTAGGGGTCTTCAACAGGATCAAGTAGATAATAGCACAAGTATTTCATAAGACTCATGTCAACGAGTTTGCAGGCCGTGAGGATAGGTCTTGATCATTTGGGCAAATATACACGCGATGACGTAGGCCACGTGACGATGACGATGGAGCCGACACTTCGCATGATGATGGAGCCGGTACTTCTCAGCCTCATACACAACCAAATACTCAGATAATCGAGGCTCATCAACAGGAACGCATGAGGCAGGGAAGAGCGAGGGGAAGGTGGAAGAGAGGGAGAGGAAGGAGAGGAGGAATTTTGGGTTGTATGTGATCTTATTTTGTTAAAATTTGCAACTTTTATGATTTTTCAAATACTATTATTTTGTGGATCAATTATTGTTTATATATGTGATCTTCGTGAGTATTGTTTGATTCGTGTTTAATTCATGGCTGAATTTTAAGAATATTGTTGTAATTTAGTGTATATGACATCGATTATTATTCACAGGTGTATTTTCGTGATTCTTGTTTGATTCAGTATATATTGTTTGATTCATGTAAATCGATTGATTCATGGTGAAAATTTCATGTATATTTTGGGTTATATGTGTAGCTTTCCTGATTACGTTGCGTATATAAAAAACATGCACAGCCTGCTGTGCATGTTTTTTAAAACCTGCAGCTTCACGAGACTTCAAGTCTCGTGAAGTTGCAGTTCTCATTTTCCAGAGCCGTGATTCTCTAAAAAATGAGCCTGAAACTTCACAGGACTCAAGTCCCGTGAAGTTTCAGCACTAAAACAAAACTTCACGAAACTTGAAGTCCCGTGAAGTTTTTTAAACTTTGAAACATCACGGGACTTCAAGTCCTGTGAAGTTTAGCAGCTTAACAAAATGACTGCTAAACTTCACAGGAATTAAAGTCTCGTGAAGTTTGAGAACTTTTTTCACCAAAGCCGATCTAGTTTCAGCCCTGAGGCTGAAACCAAGGTCGGTTTTGACAAATAAACTTGAAAGGGGTCGTTTTTGGGGAATCAGTTTGAAATTAGGGCTCTTTTAAACATTTTGTCCTATATTTAATAGAGTAGGAGTATAACCGCAAACAATAAGAAGGAAAAATTAGCGCCTTTGACATAACTTTTTACGTGAAAAAGCCCTTCTCAATTCACATTTATCTCTTATTTCTAAAATACATTTTATTAGCTTCTTAATCTCCTCTTCTTCTTGTACTCTATTTTTTTCTCACTTTCTTCCTCCTCTCAATATCGCCTCCACCCTTCTTCCTTTTCCTCAACTCTATCTATGTTCTCTTCTTTTCTTTACCCATCATTCTCCCTCCGCCCTCCTTTCTCCTACTTCATTCTCCTCACTCATCTCTCCTACAGTTCAACTCTATTATCGTCCCTCTTCCTCCGGCCTTCTCCTTCCTCCTTTTTAATCTTTCTCTTTCCCCCACTCCTTCCTCCTTTTTCTTCTTTCTCTATCCTACCTTCACTTTTCTCCCCTCTTATCCCCATCCTCTTCCATTCTATTTCCATCATCCCCTCTCCTCCTCCTTTATCTCCATCTTCATCTTCTCGATCACAACTATGACTATATTATCCAAAGATCGTTTTTAGGCTAAAAATATATGTCTCATAAAGTCACATCGAAATTGACAATTAACAGTTAAAGTTAACATCTAATGATTAAAGTTAACGTGTAATGTCTAAAGTTAACATTTGAGTTATAAAGTTACATCTAACTTAAGAAATTAATATTAAAGCTTTGAAATTATTAGGTATTAAGTTTATCGCACGTTAAGCTAAAAACCTTATATGTTAACTTTAATTATTAGCTGTTAACTTTAGACGTGCCTTGTCAAATTTAGACATCATAAGATGACTTTAAAGTTAGATGTTAAATGTAAAACTTGAAAGTTAATTTTAAATATTAAGTGTTAACTTTAGTGTGATTTCAGGAGATAATCATTTTAGCCAAAAGAGACGATATTTTAGCGATGTAATAACGGTTGTGGGGAAGAAAGAAAAAGGAGAGTTGAGGAAAGAATAAAAATGATAAAGAAGAAGTGTAGCGGTAAAAATATAATAATTGAGAAATGATAAGAAAAGAGAATAGGGATGTAATGGAGGAGATGGTGATGAAAAAGAAAATGGTTGAGGTAAAGGAAGAGAAATTATTCATGGTTTTATGAGAAAAATTATTAATGGGTTGAGAAGGACGAGGAGGAAAGAAGTATTGATGGGTTAATGAGAAAAAAATAAAGAGATGTGAGAGGTTAAGGCTGAGAGTAGATTGGGGCATAAAAAAAATAGATGTTGCTCTCTCTATTGAGATGTCAGTTGTAAGTAGACTTTTTCACGTTAGAGCATGGCTCAATGGGCCTAAGCACATGACCAAAGTCAATGGGGCTAGGTCACACATAAAGGATAATATATATATATATATATGGTGAGGTTCTAATAAAAACCTTCTTAGCCTAAAAACTAAAAACCTATGTGGGTCATTGGATTTATCTCATCCAATGGTTGAGATTAGAGCTTATACTGCAGTGAATCCAGATTCAGTTATGACAATAAATACCATTATTAAAAAGTGCAATAAATTTGTCTGCCATTAAAGAGTGCAATAAATGTCATTATTCTTCAAAAAACAAACACCTCACATAACTGAATCTGGATTCACTGTAATAAATATCATTATTTTTCAAAAAACAAACACTCCAACGAATCCAGTTTCACCTCACATAACTGAATCTGGATTCACTGCAGTGAATCTAAATTCACTCCAGTAAATCTCGATTCACTCCAGTGACACAAGATTCACTCATATTAGGGTGAGAATTTTCAGTCGAAAAAACGAAGACACGTATGAGTGAATCTCGATTCACTGCAGTGAATCCAGATTCAGTTATGTGAGGTATTTATTTTTTAAAAAATAATATCATTTATTGCAGTGAATCCAAATTCAGTTATGTGAGGTGTTTGTTTTTTGAATAATAATGACATTTATTGCACTCTCTAGTAGCAGACAAATTTATTGCACTCTTTAATAATGACATTTATTGCCATAACTGAATCTAGATTCACTACAGTATAAGCTCTAATCTCAACCATTGGATGAGATAGATCCAATGACCCACATAGGTTTTTAGTTTTTAGGCTAAGGAGGTTTTTATTAGAACCTCACTCTCTCTCTCTCTCTCTCTCTCTCTCTCTATATATATATATATATATTTATATATATATATATATATAATATATATATATATATATATATAATTATATATATATCTATATATATATATATATAGATTAATGGATATCATTGTCAAGGAGGCGAATTTCCTCATTAACTCCTATGTGACCACAAATTCCCCATCATGTGGAATAAAGTAGGAAAGCAAATTTGCTGTGGTGAGGATGTGCCATATGGAGTCGAGGCAGGGAAATCCCCTCTAATCTCTCTCATCTCTCCTCCTCTCGTCTCTCTATATGTACTACTCCTATATAATATGTATATATAGTATATATATAATATATCATATATATTATATATACACATCAGTAATAGTTAGATTCTAAGCCTGGTATCAATATTCAATGAGTTTATGTTGGGCGCTTCTAGCCCTTACAATCAACTCCCCTCTTAAAAAAATTCACCATCGCTGAGCACAACACCAGATGAACAGATTCATGCTAATCCATATTATTACATTATAGTCATCACTGCAATCCAATGTTAGATATTAGCATCTTCGAGTTCAACAAAAATTCTTTTACATTTCACCACATTCAGCAATAACACACGGGAGTTTAGGATGATTGTTCGGTCCAGTTGCAACATTCTCAATCTTCCGAACAACCAGAAGGCCATCTCCAAGGACTCTCTGCAACAAGACAAATGCAGAGATCGATGAGAAAATTATCACAAGCAAGCAACTAAGCAATATCATTTGACTACAACAAACAATAAATCGACGAAATTATGTTGGATATACATCATCTTCATCCAGAAGACAGCCAAGATTCAATATATCATCTATGAAGTAATAAATATCCGGAAAAAATGTGAAATAAAAGCTTCCAAGCTTACCCCAAACACTACATGCTTATTGTCTAACCAATCACACTTTGCACATGTGATGAAGAACTGCAGGAGAAACATAAAAGAAAACTTAGCTCATAATGAGGTTAAAAAAAAATCCCAAGAATTGAAGGCACTAAATGTCTAATAATTATCGTGGAACTGAAGGGAAATGCTTGAAACAGATAGGTTCACTACTTTCTATATAAAGATCTAGGAAGCAACTAGCATAGTGCCTTGACAGAAAATACTAAGTCGAAACTCAATATAGATCTTCCATTTCTTTGAAGATTCCAGTTCTTGGCCCCCGTATTGGTTGTCGGTCTACCCACTTTCTTTCAGCTAATGGTTGTGAATCTAATACTTGTGATATATAAATAAGAAGAAACGAGCAAGAGCCAAAATTACCTGACAACCATTCGTGCCTGGACCACTATTTGCCTGCAGAATATAAGAGATAAAGTAACAAAAGCTTAGGAAAGTGAGAATGTACAGGACATGTCCCCAAACAAACAAGTACAAATGGGAAACAAATGAGATAAACACTACAACTCATGCCAAGAAAAAACATTCAAGAGGTTAACCGCACTGGAACAACAATAATATATTAAAGTAGAAAAGGTACTTCCCTTTTCCCTATCCAGAATGATATCTCAGAAGAGAGGGGAAAAATGACGAAAATTCCTATTTTCCCCAAGGAGGAAACTGGTGGCTCTGCCCTTCCACTATTATATATGACATATTCAAGATTTCATATCCTCCTGCAAAAGACCCTTTTGGTTCCATCATTTTTAAATTAGGGCCCCAGTTAATTGAGTGACATCCAAATCCTTTCACCAAATGTCAAATTTATAAGGTGACAGAGTAACACCCTTCAACACTGCAACACAACGTCAAAATTTTTCCTTGATTTCTTAGGTTTCCATATTGACCTCGTTAATCTAGGTCCCCTCCGAAGTCCACACACATCTTACTTACCTTAGGACATTGAACTAGTTTGATTTCTTATGTATTGGAATAGATTTGGCTGTAATTACAGTTAGAATTTTTAAAATTGCTAGGATAGTGTTCGAATTAAATTTAGCAGTTACTTTCTATTTTTGACATGTAAAACCTTAAAACAAGGCTAATCCTAGGAGTTCTATTCAGTCCTTGAAATCTTAAATGGATTGAAGTCAATTTAAAAGTTTATGCCTGTATTCAACTCTTCTTGTTATCTTTCTTTCTCCTCCTTTTCCTGGTTCTGGACTGCAAAAAAACAAAACAAAATAAAAAAGCCTGAGATTTCCCCCCCGCTTGACAAAGAACCTTGAATCTTGCATTATCGCGTTCCTAACTGTTTTTATGCACCACCCACATACAGTCAGTCTCACACCCACCCACCCACCACCCATATATACCCAAACAGACAGTGGAGGAAGCCAAAAGCCATGGTCATAGTTGCCACAAATTCTTTCTCACTCTCTCCACATGAAAAAAAGAAAAAGAAAAAAGAAAAAAGAGAAAGACAAGAAGACAAGCTTCGTTTCATATGGATTGCTAGCAGCTGTTCATCACAGTTTTAGTACATAGAGATTCTTCCATCAAGCCCTTTAATTCAAGGGGCAAAAGGAAAGGGAGAGATAACATAAATGAAAGATATAAAGAAACTAATCAAAAGTTTAAGTTAATTGAATAATACAGAGTTATATATACATATGTGTATCCTTGTCATAGGAGGGGATTTCCTCCTTGACGTCTATGTGACACAATCCCCACCATCCTCATAAAGTAGGAGAGAGAGAGTGCGTTGGTGGGGATTTGTGCCTACTTTATGAGGATGGTGGGAATTGTGCCACATAGGCGACAAGGAGAGAAATCTCCTCCTATGACAAGGATACTCATTAATCTCATATATATATATATATTATATATATATATAATAATATATATATATGATATATATATATATATATAGTATATATAGAAGAGAGAGAGGGGAGAGAAGAAATGAGTATGTTTGTACCAAGCACAAAAAGTTGTGTTTGTAGTGAGGTGACATAATCCCCTTCACTCATCAATTGTTGTATCTCATGCACTCCTCAACCCATGTGAATTGTCCCCCATTTAAATGAGTGGGAATTGTGCACTCACTACCAGCACAAAATTTGTGTTTAGTACAACGCATACCATATTTTTCATCTATATATATATATATATATAGAGAGAGAGAGAGAGAGGTAGATTAATGGGTATCATATTCATATGAGAGGATTCTCTCATATACAATGAGTGGCACAATCTCCACCAGCTGGTATTTATGAGCATTCTCTCTCCTATTTATTCACTTGGTGGAGATTGTGCCACATCATTGTATATGAGGAATCCTCTCATATGACATATGATATCCATTAATCTTATATATATATATATATATATATATATATATATTATATAATATAATATATATATATATATATATATATATAATATATAATATAGTATAGAGAGAGAGAGAGAGAGAGAGAGAGAAGAGAGAGAAATGAGTATGTTTGGTACAAGCACAAAAAGTTGTGTTTGTAGTGAGGTGACATAATCCCTTCACTCATTCAAATTGTTGCATATCCTCATGCACTCCTCAACCATTGTGAATGTGCTCTCCATTTAAATGAGTGGAGGGAATTGTGTCACCTCACTACCAAGCACAAAATTTGTGTTTGGTACCAAGCATACCCAATATGTTTTCATATATATATATATATATATTATATATATAAATATATACTATATATGAGCATTAAATGGGTATCATTATGTCATTTATTGAGCAGGATTCCCTCAGATAGCAATGACTGTGGCACAATCTTCACGCAAGTGAATAAGTAGCAGAGAGAATGCCTCATAAAATACACTTTGGTGGAGATTTGTCACATCATTGTATACTGAGAAGAATCCTCTCATATGACATTATGAAATACCCCCAAATTAAATAATACTCTCTTCTCTCTACTCTCTCTGTGAAAGATATAAAGAAACTAATCAAAAGTTTAAGTTAATTGAATAATACAGAGTTATATATATATATATCATTAAAAAAAATGACATACCATAGACAGGAGACCTGGACCTGTATGTTTTGCAATGAAATTTTCATCCTCAAACTTACTCCCATAAATGCACATACATCCACTACCATCCCCCTGCAAAAGAAAATATTTATTGCTAAATTTATAATCTGAATTTGACTAGCGATGTGGATGGTAAATATCGGAATAACTACCGCAACAAGACAACAGTTACCATGTTATTCACTAAAGGAGTTGCTTATTCCAAGCAAAAGCGAACCATTTGTTGCCACAATCGCATCAGAGAAGAAGCCATAAATGTTATGTATATAAACTTCAGGTGACATAAAAAAGATTTTTATAGCGATTTCACATGCATGACACCAATTAATTTTCCATACATCTATTTCAAGTTCATCAAGAACCTCACTGACTGCAGCCAATATAGCTCATGGCTGAATAACAAGATCCTCAAGCATAAATGGGACTGATAATGATATCTTGATATAAAACTATAATACAAACACATAAAATTACAATCAACAAGTTTACATTAGCGTTCAGAAAAGAGAGCAAAAAATGATTACCTTCAAAAAATCACCAGCTTGAATCATAAAATCCTTAATAACTCGATGAAACTGACATCCTTTATAACCAAGGGGTAACCCATTTTTTCTGCACATGATCTCCATTTGGTCAAAAGCAATTTATAATAACAATGAAGAATAAACCGTAAGGTATCAGCTGGAAAGATGACCTGTAAAATAATTTTACACTCACTGAGAATTGCAGAAAAAGGGAAGATCAATAATAATAATAAGCTCTTTTAGAAAATAACTATATACTGGGAAGGAGATAGAATGAAGGGAAAATAGGAAAAGATTCAAATTCCTTGGCTGTAAGAGATTCAAAGGCGTCAATACACAGAAAAGGTCATTGGATGAAGGTGAATATATCCATCAACAAAAGCCTTAACAACATGCATGAGAAGGATGACGCATCTGTCATCAATATCAGTGCACCTAAGTCCCAAAAGTTTTTTTTACAACACTTTATTATAGTCTTTCCCTTAAAGACGACCTTTAATCATCACAAGGGAGAAAAAAAATAATCTAATTTAAATTCATTTTAAAAAATTCTATAGGACAATCAAAAGTTTCTGAAGGGTAATATCTTGTGAAAAAAAAAGAACCGCCAACTCAGGATCTCCCGCAGTTGATGACCTCAGCATACCTGTGTTCCCCAGTGCAGAACTGCCTGCAATATTAAGGAGAATTTATTTACAATCAGATGAAAGAGCAAATAAAAGCTAAATCTCATATGCACAATAGACAACAATAATCAATTTCTCCAAAGTGTGAAAAAAGAAGGCATGAAGATAGTTCAAAAAAATAAATCTTATATGAATTATTGAACAAAAAAGCATGTAAAATATTGGAGAAAACAAATTTCTCATATTTCAGTTTGCCCAGGGGCAGGCTCTTCTGGTTCAAAGAAATCATGAACATGGGCAAAGATAGGAAATCCCTAAGTTTCATGGGTACGGATACGGGTACAAATGCGGGTACGGTTACGGGACACGGAAAATTTGTAAAAGATAGGGTACAAGGCCACTGCTAAAACTCATGGGATATAATCATAGTTCTGAGCTATATATGTAAACAACCCTTCTAAACGTAGCTCATACGGCTAAAACGAACTTGATCCTTGTCCAACAAGTTATAAAAATGGATGTGAAGTGTAGAGTATATATCTAAGAAGTGTATGATGAGTGTTTTAAATCAAACATGCATTGTATATCGAGTACAAGTTTGAATAAATAGATGTATATATTTAAGTAATGTCTAAGAAGTGTCGGGTATAGGTAGGGGTACGGCTCCACATTAGAAGCACCCAGGTAACATAGGGAAATCCTAACGGAGAACTTTTGCTTTGTCAAACATTTGCGACACCTCCCCTCGCCCCTCCATTCACTTCGCGTCTGTTCAATATAAGCATTACGTGTTAGATAGTGACTAGAAGGCAGGTAAGGCTAAACTCATAATACTTGAGAAGCAATGGCATAGACTCTGTTGCAGGTTTGTATTTCTTCATGTAAACTGAAGGAAAAAAGTAATTATCTCCACGCGATTCTCATGTGCCATTTGAACCAAATGAGGAAATAATGTTGTTTGAGGTCAGAGGTTATAAGTTCTAATAAAATAATTTAGGGTGTATAAGAGACGCCAACAATGTATGATGTATCTACAAGTAAGCCAATAAAATATTACACAGATGATAGCAATGTCGTGGCAAGATACATAATGAACAAAAACTTCATAACAAAGCCTCTGTGCGGTGCTTCATAGACTCCAAAGTCCAAGATAAACTTCGAAACTTATGACAAACTCTAATATATAAATGATAAGGTTTATCTCTAAACAATTACACCCGATTGCATGAATTCACTAACCTAATGAGTTTTAACAACATTTTTCAATGGAATTCATCTCTCCTCCCTGTGGTATATTCTATATCAATTTCATAATGAAAAGTGTCCATCATAAATTGTGAACTCCAAGATTTTACGAATTCAATGCCCTAACTACTTGATACACTAATTTCAACTAGGGTTTTGGTACCAAACCTCATAGAACTAAGCAAGAGTTCATTTTGCCATCCCATTTTCTTGAACTTTGTTCAGAGAAACAAAACAGATAAATTAAAGACAGAGGGTTGCCTGAAGTTTTCGGCGGTTTTAGGGACGATGTCGGCGAAAAGCTCCATCTTGATCCTGCCAGCGGGGATCGTGCCGATGGTGACGTCGAAGAACACGATCGGGTTCTTAGGGTTCGGTGGCCGGAGATGGCCACTCCCCGCCGCCGCCGCTGCTGCACCCGCCGCCAGTCGGCCGCCGCCGTGAGTAGTTGTTGGTAGTCATGGGCTTTTATTTTTCTCTTTTTCTCTTTCGGGCAGTGAGCGCTCTTTCCGAGCTGAGGACTACTTATCGAATACTTACCGTGGCAGCATGAAGGCCCAATTAAACAGACCATTTAAATTTTAGATTAAGCAATCCAACCGACCTAATTCTTTGAAATGGAAAATGCCATAGGGAAAATGGGACCCTACATGGGACAGATTAGGTATCAGCTCACTGTCCCATAATGCATAATGTAACAGTGAGCATCATGGGACAATGAGCCGACACCTCACATGTTTCATGTAGGGTCTCATGTTTTTGGGTCCTTGTAACACCACCCCTTTCAAATTAATTAACCAATCAAACCGGCCTAATTTTGACGGTTCAGTTTTGTTTAAAAAATAATTCCGGATTGGTATTTGGATCAGCGCGGACCAGCCGGACAGAATGCTCGGTTGTTGGTTCTTGGAAACCATTGCTTGGTCTTTCTTTCTGTTTATCCACCAAATTTTTTTTGCCGCCTTAAATGTTTATTTTTGGGCCTGTTCGTTTGTTTTCTAAAACCAAGAAATGGAAATGGAAAAGGTGAAAATCTCAAAAAGTTCTATTTTCTTCATTTCCATCCCTAAAACTCACTCACAACATCTAATAAAATATTATTTTCATCCAACAACTCATCCACATCATCTAATAAAATATTATTTTCATCTAACCACTCATCCATCACATTTAATAAAATATTATTTTCATCTAACAACTCATCTATCACATCTAATAAAATATTATTTTCATCCAAACATCACTCAACTCATCTCTTCTCATCATTTCAAATCACTCACATCATCCAATAAAATATTATAACAATTCACCTCATCTCATTAACATTTCATTTCTTTGTTTTCATCCCAAAAAGTTGTGAAAACACTTTTCTTAATCTTGGATCACATCACCCAATAATACAATGACAACTCATCTCATCTCATTTCATTTCTTATTTTTTAGAATGAACCGAACAAAAGAAAACAACAAACTACAGGAAATAAGTTTCTCATAATTCATTTCCTTATTTTTTTCGCCAACCGAACAACATCAAAACTAGTTTTATTAAAAAATCACTCACATCATCCAATAATAATGTGACAACTAACATTATTTCATCTCCATTTCTTTGATTTCCTTCTTTTTTAGCCAACCAAACACTCAAAAAACAATTCTTCATTTTAATAGTTTTCCATTTCTTTGATTTCCCTCTTTTTTCATGCAAACGAACAGGCCCTTAGTTGATTTGCATGATTGCTTTAATTAAATATTAATCCACTTCTCCCTTTCATTGATTTCTTGACAGGCGTCTTTCCTTTTGAATTAAAATAACATATTTTCTTAACAAGATGAGCCCAATTAGTAACTAATTAGATGGAATCAAGCCGACTGGCTCCTAACTCGATTCGATTTGATCTGGTTTGACTCTGAACCTAAGATTGTTTGGTTTTTTCCCCTAATTTCTGTCAAAACAGATTGTTTGCTTGCTCATAGGTAATTCACTCCCATAAGCCTTGCAAATGGGGAGACAGGATTGTGAAATTATTATAGGACAAATTTTCAAAACCATCATATTTGCAAACTTAATTGCAAAAATCGACCCGTTTTATTCTTATTTTTTAAAATCGACCCAGTTTTAGCCATTGGCTGAAGCTGGATCGATTTTGAAAAAAAATCATATGAAACCTCACGTGAGTTGAAATTCCGTGAACTTTTATTTCAAACTAAACTTTACGGGACTTGAAGTCCCGTGAAGTCTCAGTCAGTTTTCTAGAGAGCTTCGTTCTCTGGAAAATTGTCCCTGTAACTCCACGGGACTTCAAGTCTAGTGGAGTTTGAGAGAGCCTATATAAGTCCCAGGACCCCACTCGCGATCTTCAGTCGTTCTCACCCACGCGCCCCTCTTATCCTTCATTCCCAAACCTTAGCTCTTTCTCCCGCCACCCTCCATCGCCGCCTCCGAGTCTATCGCCGGTCAGGGAGGATCTTCATCACTGCCGTTGATCGATCTCGCCGCCGTCACTACTGGAGTTCACCGGAAATTAGGGCATCGACAAATTTTAGGTAAAATCTTAAAAAAATTCTCCTAATTTTTTTATATATTCTCATTATTTCATGCTAATTACTTGTATAAATTTAGATTTTTAAATAAATTTTGAATTGTTTATGAATTTTGTGAAGAAAAATTAAATAATTTTGTGTATGAAGATAGAGGGGGAATTATCGAAAATTGTAAAAGTTAGCATTATTATAAAGGTTTGACATTTGGTTAAAATTATGGATGTCTAAAATCGATATTAGAAGATTTAATGATAAATAACAATTTTTTATATTTTTTCGTGTAATATTGATATTGAATTTTTTACTCTTCAGAGGTAACGATGAACAATTGAATCATAATTCTTTGTTCATATGGTGGAAAGATTAACTATCTTAAAAATAATATGCTCGTGTATGAAGGAAGTGTGATGAAGCTCTTGTTTATATCAAATCATGTACTTTCGATGAATTGGCTAATGACTTACACAAACTTACATTAACCAACTCACGTGAGTATCACCTCAACGTTATTTGTAATTATCTTGTTGCAGGGAACAAAACAAGTGGCATTTAAATCTCAAGTGACTACGATATGGGCTTTATTGGAATATTACACGACGAGAAGCGTTCGGTGGAATTATTTATTAAAAAACATCACAGAAATTTAGGCAAATCGGTGAATCACGATGGAATATACTCCCGCATGTTGGATGACTTTGAAGTTGACTCCACAGGCTTTTTATCTCCGCAACAAGATGTAGGATGGACACAGTCACGATACTTGAGCGGTCCTTCGCTTGTGGGCACTTCAAATGCATTCGATGCTAGCGCTCCCCCATAAAGATCCAATGCCTTCCATAGGAGTGGTGATAGAAGATGATAATGCAAGTGTCGAATCCGAGGATAATGATGAAGATGATGGCTTACAAATCAATAGCATGACGTGTTTGATAGATTGTGATGAAGGGGACAACCAATATATTGACAGATGCTATACTAACAATGAGTATGTCGAGTTAGAGGATCCGTCACCCGATGAACTTCATAGAGAAGAATGGATTGATAACTCCACGATGGAAAGTATTCCTATCGGCACTAATATCGTTGATGATACACAAGGCGAGGACTTCTCATTCAAAAAGAGCGATCTATTTGAAAGCAAGGAGAAATTGATTCATGCACTTTGTTTGTGGGCCATCCAAAAAATATCAAGTTTAGGCAAACAAAAATCAATGCAACAAGCTATAATGTAGTTTATTTTTACCGTAAAGATGACGAAGAAGAAGATAGTGGTGGGCACCATGACGGCAATGCAAAATGTCCTTAGAAGCTTAATTCACGCTCTGATGTAAGAGTAGGCGGGCAATTTAAAATCACACACTACAGCAGACTTCACACATGTGGCAATTCTCGATTAGAGAAGAATCATAAGCGCGCCTCCGCTTCTTTCATATATCGATTGATTATGCCTAATCTAAGGGAGGATCTTGATCTAAGGCCATAAGATATTCATATTTTAGTGCATAAAGCAACCAACTTGGATGTATCATACAATAAGGTTAAAGGCATATTAGCGGATCAGATTGTGCATGCTCGATCATTTCGTGTCGTAAGATACAGTTTTAATGAATGAGAGGTCATTGAGGGAATATCGCATAGAGAAAGTCGCTCTTACAAAGTTAATATGCTAGTGGATCACACTTGCACATGCACATGCAATGTACCATAATTACAATGGCTTCCTTGTTCCCATGTTGTCGTGGCTTTGCTCTGATCTACAGGGTGGTGCGAGAATTTCACATTATACATTCGTCACATATTGGTATTCAACATACAACTATCAACAAATGTACAAATAGTGTTTACGTCCACCATATGATAGTCGACATTGGGCACAAGATGGGCCACGAATATTACCTCCTTTGTATAAAAGATCAGTTGGGTGACCTTGTTCCGTACGAATTAGAAATAATATGGATGACGGTCGAGAAGGAATTAGGAGAAAAATAAAGTATAGTAGATGCGATCAACCAAGCCATAACAAAAGCAGTTGTTCAACTAGGATTAGGCATTGATTTTTAATTTTAATCCTTGTTCCTATGTGACAATCGTTTTTTGTAATATGTAACCTTCTAATTTTAATCCTTATTCTCATGTGACAATGGTTTTTTATAATATGTAACATTTATATTTTAATCATTGTTTCCATGTGACTCTCATTTTTGTAATATATATAACATTCATCTTTGAATCTTGAATCTTGAATATGTGAAATACATATCATTAATTCATTCAACTGAAAAATCTAACTTATTATATTTTAATATTTTAATCTGAGATACATCTATTATGGATCCGGGACCGATGCAACCCGACGTTTTGTACATTCAGACAGATCATCGTTCACACTATATTGGCTTGGGACAGGTAAAAAATGGTGTATATATGTTCTTATTTTTTGGCGCTAATTTTAATTTTTCTCAATATATTTAATTAATTTTAATTAATGTGCAGCCCGTACCAGAAATCACCATAGTGGACAACTCACAATGTCATTCGGGTTGTGTCATTGAGGATGAGAGAGTACTATAGTTGTTAGCTCAAGTCGGTTTGAGAGTGTTAGCAGTGAGGTATATTAGGCTTGACTGGTCCCTTATCAGTGCACTGATTGAGAGGTGGAGGTCAGAGACTAACACCTTTCATATGCATATAGAAGAATGTACTATTACACTGTAGGACGTAGCCATCATACTTGGGCTCTACATCGATGGCCCGGTTGTTACGGACACCGATGACCATAATTGCGCTGAAGTATGTGAGAAGCTTCTTGGTCAAATTCCTGACTTGAGGAGTGATGCGATGAAGCTATCGTGGCTTTGTACGACATTTATGGGAGATATACCAGCTAATGTCACGGTTGAGACGCTTCAGTATCACACTCATGCTTATATATTGCACATGATAGGGTGCATGCTATTTCCTGATGCGAGCAAAAATCTTGTACATGCATGATGGCTGCCACTGCTAGAGGATTTTTGTGTATGCGACAGTCTATCATGGGGGTAATACGGTGTTGGAATACCTGTATAAAGAACTAGGTATGGTCTCCTTGATGCAGAATAAAGAATTCAAGGGATGCATGATTTTAATACAGATTTGGTCATGGAAACACATCCATATTGGATGACCTACTTTGCTTGTGCACCGTGATCTACATGGTCAGTTTCCTTTGGCATACAGGTATAATTATGCATAAATTTTATTCATATTGAATTTGTACTCATATATTCTTTATGCCAAACAGGTATAACGTGAGGTACGCTAAGTATAAAATAGCAACGCGAAATATAGAGTTTTACCGAAATGAGCTTGATGACCTCCAACAACAACAGGTAAATATAAAACTCAATTCATTATGAATATTTTAATTTTGTTGTAGATACTGATAAAGGTTTTATCTAATTTTAGTTCAAGTGGAGCCCCTATTCACTGCCAGAGCTCGATATGCATACTCTTGTACCTATCTATCGAGATAGCGTTACTTTGTGGAGAGCCAGAGTCCCATTGGTATGTTGGAAGATTGTGAAGATGCATGTCGCAGATCGTGTGTTACGGTAATTTCTGCTCTCTCAGCATGTGTCGGATCCTGTTGAGCAAATCGATTGTAGGTGACGGATGACATCGAATCGTACGGACTAGGCCGTATTCCGTGCGGCCTACATAGACAGGTGGATTAATAGGTGGCATTTCATACAGAATGAGAGAGTTACAGCTGTTGATTATACAACGTATATGCGTTGGTATTAAGATATCACACGCAGATGGATCACACGTGACCTACAACCATCAGCTGGATACGTGTCACGCCCATCGACAGATAGTTACATCCCTAGTGCTATGATCGAGAGAGATTATGTAAGTTTCTAAACTAAATTAAAACGACAATTATTTTTTTATTAAGATATTATGTGCTAATTGTTTACGCCGGGAAAAATTTTTATTGCAGAATCCATTACAAACGTTTATCGATTACAATGGAAACAAACGAGTGAGTTTTGTACTTTGTAAACTACTCTTTATAACAAAACAAGATTACAAGTTCTCCCTAGAAACACACACAAGAACGTTTATCGTTCCCTGCTTGCGTGAGATCTTTGCTTGTGTCGGGGATGCGTTAGCCCGTGGATGACCGAATCACAGATCCAAATTGAATCGTGAAGAAGGCTTAAGGTCGATATTTCATTTTAGAAACAAAGACAAAAGTGGATATCTTAGCAAACTAAGATAAAAAACTCTTCTCAAGATCAAGTCAAAGCTTAGATCTCGAGGAAACGCCGAAGGTTCTTGAAATTGATGAAGACTCTCTCTCTCTCTCTCTCTCTCTCTCTCTCTCTCTCTCTCTCTCTCTCTCTCTCTCTCTCTCTTGCTCCAAATTCCCAAATAACTCAAGTCTCTACTCTTACTATGCCTTGGTATGCTCCGTATGCTTCTCCTTTTTTTTTCCATATAGGTGTTAGGGAAGTATTTATAGCCCCTAGTAGCTGTAACTGAAGGTTGAAGTCGAAAAGGAATCATGTTGAGTGACTCCCATTTCCTAGACAGTCGCAACTGTCTCGGAAGCATGGCTTGCTTATGGCAGTTTTATAATCGTTCCTACCCTATTTAATTGCCATTATTCCTACGGTTATGGGTGTGATTTTCACTTGTAATGGATTCCCCATATTTATGGATGATCCCCAGCAGTTATTAATTCACGTGGATTGCACAAAACTCGAGAAAACTATTGTTAAGCCCACTCTAGTTTCCGAGACAATCACCACTGTCTCGAAGACTATGAGTTGTCTCATAACTTCCGAGACAGTGAACACTGTCTCGGAAACTTTGAGCTTCCTCATAGCTTCCAAGACATGTTCTGTGTCTCTAACTTGTGTGATGCATTTCTTGGGCATTCCTTAGTTGATTTTTGAGTTGAAGAGATTCATTGACTTTTTTCAAAGCGTCGCAAAGATCGTTAAATCTTCTCTTTAGTTCCTTGCAATATTGGGAGTCGTCTGATGAGATAGGAAGCTTTCAAGTCGACTCAAGGCGTTTCAACTGACACGCCTTTCGAGTTGACTAAAAGGGATTTGGCTTCGGAGGTTGGTCTTTTGCCGAGACACTTGTTAGTGTCTCGGACAAAGCTACCTTTTGAGTCAGTATGGAGGGGGTCTCGTCTCAGGTATAGTCTTGTGATGGTGACTTCTATCGGCCTTCGAGTTGACACATGAGGTGTCGTCTCAGTTCGCCATTCGAGTCGACATAGGAATTGTCGTCTCATCTGGTCGACATTGATCACGTCTCGACTTCAAACTGTCGTCTCATCTCGGTCTCGTCTCAGACCGTCTCTCGAGTCGACATTTATCTCATCTTGACTTCGGACTATTGCTCGTCTCAGATTTTGAGTTGGCTATCACTGCCTCTCGAGTCGACACGAAGGGATCTCGTCTAGGACTTCAAGTCGACTGCCAACGCCTTTCGAGTCGACACGAATGAGATTTCGTCTCGGGTCTCGTCTCGGACTTCGAGTCGACTACCAACACCTTTCGAGTCGACATGAAGGAGGTCTCGTTTCAGGTCTCGGTCGATCATTTGGGCAAGTGTACACACGATGACGTAGGCTGGGTCAAAGGACGATACATGACGATGGAGTTATCGATGTATGTGATTTTCTTTTGTTCAAATTTGTTACTTTTGGGATTGTTCAAATATGTTAATTTTGTGGATCAATTATTGTTTATATATGTGCTTTCCGTGAGTATTGTTTGATTCATGACTGAATTTTATGAATATTGTTGATATTCAGTATATATGTGATTTTCGTGTGTATTGTTTGATTCATGTATATTGCTGCGAATGAGGCGAATCATTTCATGTATGTTATTGTGAACTAGTTGGGCATATTTGATTCATGTATATTTCGTCATTTATAAAAAAACGTCATGTATATAAAAAACATGCACAACTGACTGTGCATGTTTTTTAAAACCTGCAGCTCCACGGGACTTGAAGTCCCGTGGAGTTGCAGAGACAATTTTGCAGAGAGCAGAGCTCTCTGCAAAACTGACTGAGACTTCACGGGACTTCAAGTCCCGTGAAGTTCAGTTTGAAATAAAAGTTCACGGGACTTCAAGTCTCGTGAGCTTATATGGATGCTAGCGAAGGACTAAATAAAAGTTCACGTGACTTCAAATCCCGTGAACTTATATGGATGCTTGAGAGGAGGATTAGCGGAGGACTAAAAGTCCTATGAAGTTTCAGATGATTTTCTTTGAAAATCAACCCGGTTTTAGCTTCAGACAGTTGGTTGAAACTAGGTCGATTTTAAAAAATAAGTACAAAACAGGTCGATTTTTGCAATTAAGTTTGCAAATAGAGCGGTTTTGAAAATTTGTCCTTTATTATACGCCTTAATGACATTGTTATTGCAACAGTTTATGAACGCATCTTAGTAAGAAATATATTAATGAAGATTTATAGGGGTTCTAGAAAGGTGTTAAGATTAGCAAGAAAGATGACTTCATTGGATTTGAGGAGACTTACTTGCGATTAAGCTGCAGCTTAGTGTGCATCACGTACATAGCGTGAAGATAATCGACAGATCATCAAATATGAGAAATGTGGAGCAAGAAAGACGCGTGAACTTCTGAATTTCTACAAGAACATCAAAATTTTCACTGGCAAGAAAGCTTCACATAAAGCAGAATTGACAACATTAGGGTTACTTTTCATTGTTATAAATTTGATTCCCTTGCATAACCAACCACATTCGCCTATAAACAAATTTCTGACTCATAATTACAATAACACCCCCCACCCCTCTCTCGCAGCATGTTCCTAAAGCCAAAATTAACTTAAGGAAACAGCACTTCAATATTGCTACATCGTAATTTAGATACAGGTTCCTGTACTCCTGTAGAACATCAGCAGTAACAAAAGAGAATACACAGTTGACGTTTACATTATCAGTAAATAAAAAAATTGAACATTAGTTGCAAATTAATGTATTTACATGACTTCCCAAAATCGATACAAGGATATTTCTACAATAGCATACATTCATTTTGCACATGGCATTTTATTCTTCAAGCAGCTGACTTGGGTATTTTGAACTGCTTTTTAAGAAACTGAGAAGCATCAGAATCATTTCTGTGGCACAAAACCCTCAGAAGAGTTTTTGAATCAGCACCAAGTCTGCTCGTGTTTCCTTGGGTGACCTCTTTCAAATCTTCGATCAGGACACGAGTCTGCATAACATCATGTGATCGATTTTGTAGTTAATCAACATAAACTATAAGGTCATCTACAAAAACATGAAAAAGAATAATAAAATAAAGGAATCCGGCTTTGTATTAAACATGTCAGTTAACCTTAGATTGATGGTATACTTTGTTGAGAAAAAAATATTAGAGCTTGGTTAATGTTTGGAAATCAGAAAAAGTACTACAGGAGCCTATCACAGTGTATCATAATCATCTATCAAATAGCTAATGCCCTCGTATGGACTTTTTAAATCAGCGATTAGACTTACATAATCATGTCATTCTAGTTGTTCAAACTACTTTGAACTAAGATGAATCCAGATATGACACCTCAAAGCTGATTAAATATACAGCATATCACAAACTTATATATTGGATAGCTTCTGCTTATGTATGTACTGTCTAGCTTATGTATGTACTGTCTAACAACCAGTGTTTTGGACTTATATTATCATGCCATTTTGGTCGACTGAACTGTGGGGAATAAAATGAGTGCAGATGTAATACCTCAAAGCTGATCAGTTTTATAATGGGGCGTACCCTTGCCACCAAGTTTTCAACGGTCCCTCGAGGCAACCCATCGCCACCCGATATAAAAAATTCCTGCAAGTCACAAGGGAAAAAAAACTTACATCAGCACAAAATGTTGTTTCTTCTAAGGTCACTTGACCCCAGTTTTCAACATTAATTGTACACATTTTTAATAGAAATCATTACTGTTTCCAATTTTTACCAAAACACAACCGACTCATCTTACAATGAGATTAAAAATAGTAAGAAATAAAATAACATAGAATACAAACAAACATCATGACAGAAAAAACATTGAGGTTTTAAATTTTCTGTAGACAACCGAAAACAAACAAATTAATTACATGGCAAAGAAGATAAAGTAAAATTACAAAAAATAGTATTTGCAGTTATGCATTCAACATTTACAAAGCCACAAAGCAAATACCTTCAAATTTTCGAGATCGCTTGAGTATCACCCTTAGTAGGCCATCCTACATTTTGAAATACTATTTAATATCCTAGAAAATCAAGATTACTGAGGTTTTTTTAACAACTCTTAGTTCCCTACCAAGGAGGCTTGAAGAAGCCCTTGCACTATGCGATCCCGGAGTGGCTCAACAATGACATCACAAAGTTGATTTAAAACCTGTATACAACTCCAATATGAAAGAGAATCCATGCTAAGAACTAGATCAATATAGAATTAAAGATACAAAAATAGGGAATAACTTGTAATCAAGTCAAAGAATGTCAAAAAAAATAGCAGTTAGTTGAAGTTGCAATAATTTGGAGGAATATTCCTCTTTGGTAGAATTTATAAAAACTTCCAGCGCATAAACAATTAATATATGCCAGGAGTCTCACAAGTACTTCAAAGCCACAATAACCTATTAACTCATAAGTTGTCCTGAAAATACTTCAAGATCTCTGTAGCACTTCAGCAGTTTGATGGTGTTAAGGCATATATCATGGAGATCTATAATGTTATAGTCATATTAGGAATAATTTATTAGGAATATATGGTTGAGAGATATTAGTGATGTGATTGAGAGAATAAAGGAATACGGTAAAAACATGTTTAGCATATTCCTAATAATATGTAACATGTATTTAATTCCTGTTAGTATAAATATAAAAGATCAACAGAGCTCTAGAATTGAGTTTCTGGTTTCCCTCAGAATTAATCTCAACAGACGGGAGTTAAATTGAAGAATTTTAGGCAGTGGAGTTGTGACAACAGGCAATATGCCAAAAGTCACTTAACATTGAAAAGAAATATGTAACTAAACAGAAAAAGCTATAGCCATCTAGAGTAAAACTGTCAGCCCTTTTTCTAATGTAAATTTGCAGTCTTTAATATATACACACAGCTTACCACATCAAGTGCTTCAATAAGTGACTCCAACCTAGCCTGTGAAACACTATGTTTGTATAGATTGTCTATAAATGGTTCCCTCAAGTCCCAAAAGATGACCTTTGTTCCTGCAGAAATTAAAAAAAATAAAGTCAATTGGGTACAAACTAACATATATGGTTTCATTTCAAGGATTGCATTCAACGAAAATGCTTACCTGTGAACTCACATATTTTATCAATAGCTGCATTTATGTCTTTCCTACTCCCGCCAAATGCATCCTTCTGGATCGACACAGAGCTTCTCAACTTCTCATTTGTTGATCGTTCTAGATTCAAATTCAGAAGTTGAGTAAAAACGTTAAATATTATGCTAGACACCTACAGAAGCTTGTATCAAGTTCTTGGTCAAAGTTTTATTTAGTATAACCAAATCAAAATTTTGAACCTTGAAGGTCCATGCTTCTTGAAGTTACTAGTGATCTCCTTTCTAGGGAAGTAAAATATGAAAACAAAAAATAAAGAGTTGTAATGATGGTAAATGGTGAGGACATGTAAGTGTCAACCTGTAAATAAAAGAAGCATAGTCTCTCTCAAATAATCTACTCGGCTCTTGTTCTATCTTTCAATATATTAAGGGAAAGGTATTGCAGACTATAGAATAAATAAAAGAAATAGCAAAAGACAGTTAGCATAATGTGTTACTCCTGTTGCTGGTAGATGTTTATTTAATAGTAACTTAAGCACAATACTCTGCAAAACAATCTCCAGCAGAATGAAAATGAACAGCTGAGGACTATGTATTAAAATTTCCCAGTCGTGCAAACAAACAAGAGCACGAGAAAAGAGTATGATAACACAACATGAAATATGTTAAGTACAACAAATATTAATCACATAGAACATGGACACACACGGATACGGCTATGACAGACAATATCAACTAAGTTGACTAGTTTCCTAAAAACTTTTAAGTTGCGAATTCGCAAAAGAGAACTGCATGTAGTTGCAGTTGTTTTCCCGATACAACTGTGGCTTTTTTGAAATTGTAATTGCAAAAATGAGTCACATTTTGCAAAAATTACTTGTGACCACCTTGCTCACAAAGCATTTACCAAAAAGATCATTTTTGCAACTGTGATTACAACAAGTAGCATTTGCAGATAAATTAACATCTGCAACAGAAACTGTCTTCCAAAATTACAGCTGCAGTTACAATAGCAATATTTTACATACTAAACACTCCCCAAGTAAAGCAAACACAAAATAATAGATTAATTTTTACTACAAAGTTGTTCCTAGCTTCAGCATAAGACAAGATGCCAAATAGCTTTTTCACCAACCACCATATATCCCAAATTCCCAAGGAAATATCTCCTCCAAGAGGTAAAATTTATATATACATTTTAAGCCAGCATCGTATTAAAGTCAGTACCTCAGAGTAGCTTAGAACATAAAAGGCTTTATCTGGCACCAGTACGCCTTTATCTTTACGCCTTTATCTTCTTTAAGACGTCTAACCTAGGGAGTAAGTTGGAAACGAATAATCCTTCTTATTCATAGTTTTGCCACTCCCTTCCAGAGAATTTGTGAATTCCAATTTATGCAATTAAAATGTAACGCATATCATTTTGCATATAACTCAAGATGAATATACAAAGAATTGAAGCTCCTGTAACCAATCTTCCTCAAAAAGCTAGGATCATTGAAAAACTATTGACCTTCACATGAAATTGAGACAAATCTATTTGTTGGGTAGTTAAAAGTGAAGTAATTGTCTTAACTAAAAATAGTAGAACAGAAGGAAAAAAGAAGAAGAAGCATAGGTACATACTAATATTAATATTCTCATGTTTTTTCCTTGTCCACCGCTCGTTAATGCTGTCTTCCAGTCTATTCAACTGAGTAATTGCATACTGTTTACATAGAAAGGTCCTATATAATCAGTTCATGAACAATTACAAGAAAGAAAAGGCAAGTAATTAACATGTTATAATCCAACTTAAACAAATTGTATGAGTTATTGCAAATATCATTTTCTCATAGGACCTATTTAAAATGTTGATAATTTGAGGGACAAACACAGAAATACCAAATATGGATAACCCGATTATTAAACAATTCAGATAGGGTCAAGGTAAAGGACCAGTTGAATAAACAGGTAGGGTAGGAATATGACATACATGGGTTGATCTGGAATCTACCCGAACAATCGCCACCTTTATTCGAGTGTAGTTTTCCGGTTATTTCCCTCAGCTGTAGTATTTGTCTTTCTTCGTTTCAATTAAATTTCTTTCTCATATTTGGGTTTCAAGAATTTATGCAAGTCTTGCTCCTTCTATTTTAATTTTACTACAAACTGATTTTCAAGTTTTGATCTAATTTGATCTAAACAACTATTTGTTGCTAAATAATTCGTTTGATTCAAGTTTGGTAAATAAACTTGAAAAATAATGAATTATGAATTAAATAAAATTACATATGTAGTACTTATTTGGTTCTATGTTGCACGGATACGGGTGCAGGCACAGACATGGACACAGGTCCAGAGACAGGAAACAACAAAATTATAATAAGTTACATATCAAAATTAAAAATCTATATGAGATCGATATTGTTTTTCACTCACATGTTATGAGAACTAAAATCCTTATACTATATTTATGTTTCTTATATTGAGTAGATCATAAATTGAAAAACTGCAAGTTTTTTGCACTGTATACCTAAACAATCTTTTAAAATCATACTTATGAACTAGGAATGTGCTAAAACGAACCTGTTCGGAGTCTAATAAGTTGCATAAATTTGAGGTGAAGTGTACAATATACATTCAAGCAGTGTATCACAGGTTTTTTAAACTAAAACATATGTTGTATAATTGAGTACACATCAGACTAAATGTATGGATATATTCAAGAAGTGTCCAAGGAGTGCTGGACACGGATACGGAAAGTGTTGGACACGGATACGGAAAGTGTCGGACACGGATACAGGAGTCTAAATGAAGTGTCTGAGTAGCCTAGCTTTGGTTCAAAGTTGCTAACTAAACCTGTTACTGAATCAGCTAAAAATTAAAATAAACTTACATATAGAGTATTCAGTCGCACACAAAGTTTGGGAACTGTAAGAGCATTGATTTGACTAGAGCTTCTGTCATCAGTCACTTTAAAATCTACTACTTCCTTCTTCACAAACGACTTGATACCACTTTCTTTTCTATATCGAGTGAGAACAGGAACTTGAGGTATCAAATCTTCTTTGTCAACTGCAAAAGCAAGGACATTTGGGAAGTTCAAAATTATTTAAGCTTACACAAAAAAAAAGAGCAAAAGGAAATCATAGGATACCTCATAAACTTGTAGTTGAAAGTTGGAAGAAAATCCATAATCATTATGAGAAAGTGCAGTCAAGTTACATACATTCAAATATGTTGATGGATCAATGTAAATGTCACTATCTACTATATCAGGAAACTTATGCAGAACGCAACAGAAAATGCAGTTATGTACTGCAGAAACAATAGAAGAAAAGTTAACATATTCAAGTATTTATCATGTGCATCAGCAGAAGCTCAAGAACACATAGCCATTGCTGAATAGGAAATGCTGTAAATGAGCAGCATTACAAGTATGGACTTCTCACAAGTTAAGAAGATAAATCACATATGACCGAAAGGCAATGAGATGAACCTCATCTTTAGTACAGACTGTACAGTAGATACAAAAGCAAACTTTCCAATTTCAAGAGTAGTGTTTTTTGCAGCAGATTGAACTTCAGAGGTAAGGCAACTCAAATAAAAATATAAATATCTTACATAAGCATAAAATAATGTTGATGGAGGCAAAAACTTGTAACAAATATACTCAATATTTGTGTTTGTGGCTGTGTAGTGCGTGATAGATGGTCAAAAAAATTTCTCATGCACGAATGAATATTGTTCTCACCTATCTTTTCAACGACATGGTGAGTATAAACTTGAAATGCGTTATCAATGCCACGACAAAGGCTATTTAGTTCTCCAACCCTCATCGGCACTTTAAGAGCAAAAAATTGATCAACCGTCTGCAGTTGAAATAAGGCTTAGATTGGATGACTTTGTAATTTAATTTACATATAGAAAAGTTAACAGTTCACAAAATTTCGCATAGAAAGGCACACTTATGAAAATATTGAAACAGAATTATTGAGGAATAAATATGTAATAGAACACTTAATGGTACTAATGAAGTGTAATTATATTTCATAACTTAAAAACCACAAGTAATCATCAGAGTCCACCAACTGTTTTGATTTGTCTGACGAATAGCTTTCTCAACCATAAAAAGCAAAAGATTACATTACAAGTCAGCACAAAGACTCAGCGAAGAATATTGATAGTTCATAATCATACCAATGCTACAGGCAATTGATTTAATGTTTAGACTAATATTCTTTGGAAAAAATATTAGTAATCATGAGCGTCCAAGAAACTTGAATGTGCACTGAGATAACTAAACTAAAATGGTTACCCATTCAATGAATTAAAATGAATTTAACTATGTTGTTACCCAGTAACATTTTCTTTGTTTTTAGGACATAGCTCCCTAAAAAGTTCTCTGTTTGAATATTAGTCCCTCCCAATATCATACCCGTATTTCCTTATAATATGAGGATGTATAAGCCAGAAAATTAGCTAGGTATCACCAAGTTTGTAGTTGAATCAACAGAATCAACAGGTATTAGGCCTGTAGACATATTAATGAAGCTTTTATTTTGTTATAAAAAAAGGTATTAGGCCTGTAGACATATTAAAAAAGCCATAGATAGGTGAGCAGAGCTGGTCTGCATTCAGGTTTACAGGGTAAGCAGCCGTGTAGTGACCTTTGATTTATGGGCAGTTGAGTGCGACCGAATGTTATATATATATATATATATATATATATATAATATATATATATATTATATATATATATATATATATATATATTATATATATATATATATATATATATATATATATATATATATATATATATATATATATATTATATATATATATAATATATTATATATATATATATATATATTATGATGTATGTCGGTGATTATATTGCCAATGCCAACTAGCAGGGTAATCGGACAAAAGCTATTGAGGGATGACATGTTAGAAAATGAAGGTCAAGCAAAGAATTTATAGAAAAATTGTGTTATTCCTGTCGATCATGTCATTTGAAGATACATGACCTGAATGTTTCTGCTCAACAAATCATAAATGGCATCTATGAAACTTCTTAATTCTATAACCCTCCTTTAAGTTATGGAAAGCTAATAACTTTTTAAAGAAAATTGATTGTTCATATCAGTAAAAGTATACAAAAATGCTTGATTACAGGCATAAAAGGAAAGTTCAACAGAAGAGAAAAAACTAACGCTCAAGGCATATGGACAAGCAATTTGAGATGCAAAAAACAAATTCATATAAGTTAAACCTCCTCTATAATTCTGTAAACTTCAACAATTGAACTCCCATGTCGCTGCTGAAGGGAAATTGGATCCCAAATCTGCAAAGACATTGAATTGTATGTCAGTTTCGAGAAGTCCACAAGAAATGGCATAACAGCTGGATGATTTTTAGTGCAGAAGAAAAAGCAAACTTCGCCAAAGACATTACATATCTATACACATAGCACAAAGATTGCATCTCACTGAGCTGCTCAAGACATTATACAGCTTGAGCAAGACTGACAGGATGGAGGGTAAGAGCACTAAAATCTAATGATACTATGATAATCACTAGATAGTCAGAAAGTTCACACTGTACTCTCTTGAGACGGAGACAAGAACCATCAAAACATTTGAACTTTTTTTTGGAGAGTTTATAATAGCACAGCAAGTTGAATGATAATTGTGATTGGTAAGCAAGCAGCACAAATGTCAGTCAAGAACCATCAAAACAATTGAACTGATCTTTTTCTTGCAGAGTTTATAATAGCAGAGCAAGTTGAATGATAACTGTGATTGACAAACAAGCAGCACAAATGTCAGTCAAGAACCATCAAAACATTTGAACTGATCTTTTTCTTGCAGAGTTTATAATAGTAGAGCAAGTTGAATGATAACTGTGATTGACAAACAAGCAGCACAAATATCAGTCCAAGTCATGTCATGTCCATGCCCCTTTTTCATATTCACGCTCCATAGTTGGAAACAAACCAAAGCTATGTGAATACTTAAGATGATAATACATAACTGAGTGAAAACAGCCTCTTCCTCCTTTGTTGATCACCCCCTACTCAAAAGTAGGAGTGAGGCAACAAAGAGTACTAATGACAGTAAAGGCACTAGTATCAGGAATTTTTTATTTTGAACTTTTTCTATTCTCTTTCTATTCTTATATTTCTCTTTCTTTTACTTCAATTATTTCCCACTTCCACTTTACCTTGTCACCTACCTACATCCCAACATATGGCAGCAAATGTGCCAAGGTGATCCAGTATGCAACCCCCCACCCCTAACCCCCCACCCCCAAAAAAAACATAGAATGGGGCATATCATCTTCTATAAAATTGATGAACACCTTGTGCATCATACGTTAACTTTCTGGAAACACATAATGGGAGTTTGCATATCGACATGTCGACACAAACATCATAATAAATTGAATGGAGGGCATGATCACATAAGCAATAAAAAAGCATCAAAGAAAAGATCAATTATAAGAAGAATATCAAGCATATTTTAAATAATACCAAGAACTTGCAATACAAAATATTACCTCCTGTAAAACGGCTCGTTCAACCCACCCAATAATTCGCCCTAATTGTGCATTCACCCAGCGCAAAACCAACGTGCCAGATTTGTTTTCAACCTAAAAAGGTAAGAAATAGTGAATTCCAGATAACAGAACAGGTATCAATGAGAATCCAAAGAATCAGGTAAGGAGTGTTTACAAGGTTTTAAAGAATATCAGGAAAAATTAGACAATAAAATATTCAAATAAGATAGTATATGAGACTATAACATATTTTTCAGACACTATCAAACCTGGTATAAGGTTAACTTTTGTTTGCAGTATGCATCAATACCATCTTCCCCACATGCTGATGCAATGACCATAATAACGTACTGTTCAAGGCTTTCAGCTGCTGGAAACACAGATACTGCATCCTCTGTAAGATGTTCAGTGCGATCAAGAAATGGCCTCTGTAAAAATATGTTTTGAGTAAGGCCCATAAAATCTAAGCAATCCAAGTTCATAATGGTGAAGGAAACTGAAAAGAAGCGTAATTAGTGTGTAGCACTAAGTGATATGAACTGACCAGCTTGTGACCATAAAGCTTATGGAGAAGTGAGGCAGAAACAGCTGCTGCCTGCTGATGCCATCGAGATAAAATTGGCGTGAACATGGTTGAATCTTTCTTCATAAGTTTTTTGGTCTCTTCTGCAAGAGAAGCCAACATGTGTTCATGTGCTCTCTCTGCCCTAGCCTCAATACCATGGGTGATCTTTAGGCAGAAAAACAATAAAAAGATTAGTGATCTTCTGCATCAAAAAAATAACTAATAATTATTGCCACCCCAGAACCAGAACTAAATATCATACAGGGAACTACATGCAGTGGGTGCATTGATTTCCAATTTTTTTTATATCAAGACAAGTCAAGCACAAAAAAAGGTATCAGTGTATAAAACCACCACGGACATTCAGTGGTCGAGGACCTGCAGGGTGGGATTAAATTATACATTTACGAATTTATGACATAACAGTTCCTCTTTTGAAGGCAGGAAAAAAGACAGACCCCTTCTTCAATAAATCAAAAAATAAGGCCTTAATATACATGTCATTTTTCAAACCGACAAAGTATTGCAAACATGATTGGGCATGCAACAGAATTTTACAAGGACAAACACTCCAGTCCACTAGTTGATAATAATAATTGTCCATGCTTTTTATTGATCTATCTAATCTGCAGCAGCAGTTTGCATTTTTCTTTCATGGTAAACCTAACAACCACCTATGTAGTCCTTTTTCTGGACTCAGAGAGTGGAAACTAATTAGCAAAATGATCCACATGATCTGTTGATCACCTTATTCAATTATGAGGTTTAACTCTGATTTTATGGGGACTATCATGTGCTTTTAATAAAGATAATGACAATATCGTGTTTCAGCTGCATTAAAGGGACTACTTGTCATAGTTCTTTAAACAATCATTTAATAAATGAGGAAGAAATCAAAGATAATTAAGGATTTAGGATTATGAAAATAGTTAACAATGAGTATAATGCAAGGGCAGGATGTCAACTCCCAGAAATTAAGCTCAATATATCTAAATTTACAGATAAACTATGATTTTACTTTAAACGACTGACCTTCACAAAGGCACTTTTGACAGAAGACAAGATATATGCATCGATTTGATCTTGTTCAGCCGAGATCATTGCCTGCTTTTAAATACATATATTTAGTTCGATTCTATAGATACAACTGCAAAATAATGGAATCAGGTAAAATAAAATAAAATAAAACAGTTTCAACCACATAATAAGGTAAAAGAGGAATTCTGATGGAAAAACAAATAAGTAAATGTGGAAAAGGCAACTGAAACGAAGAAAACTACACGTTATACAGAAGGCTGTTTTTTATAAACCAAAGTTTTACCCTGATTTATTTTTAAAGCCACCCACTTTCAAAATCATTCTTAGACCCAAATGCCCAAACTAAATTATTATCAAAGCTAGTTTCTGTATTTCATCAGTTTGTTACAGCCGAGAGATAGTCACGTGATGAGGACCCCCTTGTCACATCAAAAGGTGTGGGTCTAATCACTCTTATCTGTTGATAGCTCATCTTGCTAAATGAGCCGCCATCTTATAATTATCAAACCCTATATACATACATACATATATGTGTGAGGCAACCTTATTTTCATGAGTATATATGATATATATATATATATATATATATATATATATATATATTATATATATATATATATATATATATATATATATATTCAACTTAGCCAAAATATACTAACTTACACCAACATATAGCAACTTAAATGTAGCAAATTAGACAAAACTATAACAAAACACTAATTGATGAGATACAGAAACTGTGGTAAAAAATAATTCAGTATGATATCTTACTTTTGATGATTTTTTAAAGTGGATGGGATTAAAAATAAATCAGAGTAAGACCTTGGGTTTATAAATAAAAAACATTTTACAAAAATATTAGTCCTTAAAGAAACAATAAACCACGAAAGGATGCAAAAAAACCTCTTCACTTTCTTCAAGTAGAATCCTTCGAATAATCATAGTGATATTAACGATCTCAGCCATCAGAGTTGGACCCTGCAAGTCACCAATATAACTAACATCATTAAATGGAAGTACAACTAGCAGTGAAGTTTCAAGAATGCATGCTGAAAGCACAAAATACCGAAAACTTTTTATAATGGATACAAAATAACAAGTCACATAAATGTCTCAGTTGTAAAGAAAAGGATGAAATTCCAACATAAATATAAGAAGAGGATTTTACAAGTTTTCATATCAGGTAAGAAACTTTAACAACTGACAACTACCATCATCTTCTATTCACGAGACCATCAAGTATTCAGTTGAGCGTGCAGTTATAAAATTTAACTAAGGATCACAGCATATACACAATAGGGTTTTCAATATGCATTGATCAGCTCAAAAAGCAACCAAGAAAAGTACAATCCTATATAGATGTGGATAAGGTACAAAGAGCTCTTACAAAATTATGAGATTAGAGAAGAAAAGTACGCGAGACGTCTTGATATAATGGCAGCAATGTTGAAAATAGTGATAACGCACAGCGTAACGCTTACCTCCGGTTAACGTAAGAAAATAGCGATAACTCATAGCGTAACGCTTACCTCCGGTTAACGTAAAATGCAAAATAGCGTAACTCTTAATGTAGGTTAAATAATTTATTATTATTTAAATATTTTATAGATACATAACATTCAAAATCAAATAATATGAATAATCATCGCAATTCTCAAACATATCATCATAAAAATACTATCACAAATCAATAAATCATCACAATTTCATAACAAAATCAACCATGTATGCCTTAACAATCAACGGAGATGATGACGAAGTCGAATGGAGCAGCGGAGATGATGACGAAGTCGATGGAGCAGCGGAGATGATGATGAGGATGAAGACGAGGATGGCTAGCCAAAGGAATTGATGAGCTGAAGTCGAAGGAAGAACCGAAGAAGAAGATGGAGGTAATGGGTTTTGATCTGGAAGTTCTGGAGGCGACGGGAGCAAGACTTTAGGGTTTTAGGTGTGACTTTAACTTATGAAAAGTGGGCTCCACCCACTTAAACTCAATCACAGCCATCGAATTCTTTAAAAACCAATCCTAGCCATTGATCAATTTAACTTAAGCTACGCAGTGCCATGACGACACGTTACATAGCGTACGCTATGGCTAAAATAGCGTGCGTTATATTGTCTGTGCGCTATTTTCCAGCGCTATGTAGTGGTAGGGCAACGCTACGTTACGCTATGCGCTATTTTGCGCTACGGAACGCACAATTTTCTACACTGAATGGCAGTTCATGGAAAAGAAAATTAAAAAGGAAGTAGGAGCTCTAAATCTTTACCAGTCTTGGTTGTTGAATTAGTATGAAATAGAAAAGGTAGCTGATTGTATGAGAATTGCCATTATCATGTGAACATGGTTTTTCAGTTTCTCATCAACAATAACTTGATCCCAAGAATTGCAATAGCTGAAAAAAATAAACAAGGTTTGCCTACCTACTTTAATTGATTGTTATTAGCTTATTATACATCTTATTTCACCAATTTCTAGGCACTCCATTAAGTTAGTGGTGTCCAGCAAAGATTTTCTTTCTAACATTTTCTGTCTTGAATACAGTTATAGTAATCTACTCAGAAAATATGTGATAATCACACACCATCACGAGCTTATTTCAGCCCATGAAGAACTTTCGAGAATTTTCGCACTTGCCTCGATGTCTGTACAGATCCTAAATAATATTACTAACAGAATATTCAGCATGATAGTGACCATAAAACATACAACCAAGCAATATGGATTACAAAAGTTAGAAATAAGCTCAAGTTATCAAAGAAGCAAAACCTCAGAGAAGTGCAAATGGTAGTCCCCCAGCTTCTTATCAGCCCACCTCTGAATGGGTAATAGAAAAGACTGTAAGAAGTTCAAATCTTGAGAGCCATGTTCACCTTTGACTAAGCAATGAAGACTTTTCAACTTTATTCGTTCTTGTGAACTACGTTGTTCCTTCAACGGTACTTTTCGCAACTGCTCAATTACAATTTGAAGGAGCGCTTGTTCGCCTGTAACTACAAACTGATACCAGCAAAAAATTATGTTAAGGCATTCATAGAGCAATACTAATTATGAGTAGTATACCTTTATTCAGAAATTAATATAAGTTACTGAGATAAAGCAGACATGAAACAATACAGCGGAAATATGCATAAACCCTAAAATCTGAATCCTAGTCAGAAAGAGACGAACTTTAATTAGAGGGAGCTGCCACAAATAAATAGCCTGGAAGCTCTTGTCAGTTGTCACCAACAATCAAATGGATAAACAATCAGCAGAGCTTTTCCATGAAGATGAAAAATATATAGTCACCTAAAAGAGGATATCATCCAAAAAGGAAAGGTGAACAAATAGTCAAGGTCGACTAACAATGATGAGGATAAACATAACAATTACTCAAGAAATTGAAGGAAAAATTCCTTGACATGGCTAGAGCATCAACAATGCGTGATGGTTTGGATACTGGGGAGTTGAAAAAACATCATTTCCAAAAAATGAGTCGTTGCAATGAGAAAGATGAGATGGATGACAAGAAATAAACCAAGATGTAGAACATTAACAGGGTGCAACCATAAAAAAGTTACTCGTATATTATTATTGAGGACAAAATATGGGAGATCCAACTGAGGTGGTATAGGAAAGTCTGAAGAAACAAATGACAGAAGCAATGGAAATCAGTAAGTGTGCTAGTTCACAGCAATAGGAGTTGTCAAATACAATTAGAACTATAGGAAAGCCTGAAAAAGCAAATGACAGAAGCGGTAGAAGCGACATATACTAGCTGATAATCTAATAGAGGAGATGGTCCAAAAGAAGCAGGATGAAACAAAAGGGTTGTAGTTTCCGGCCAGCCCCAGAAGTTTGAAGGCTTTTTCTGTTATGTCATCATTGACGGTTGTATCTAAGTCAAAATTGCCAAGTTGCCCAATAATATCAAGTAAAATGAAATAAACTTTACATACACTGTTGGGCTTGGGCATATGATATTCCAAACTTACCAAGATTAGAAGTTGAGTATACAGAACATGTGAATACTTCTTAAAATAAGAAAACAACAAGCTACATCACAATAGATTTCTGCTTCACGAGAAGATTGTCCTTATGGCTTTTAAGTGCTGCCTTCATGACCTTGCGTTGAAGACCCCCCACTATTGATACCTTGCATTCGTGATGATCTGCGAGTTATAGCACCCAGACAGGGTTCCTGTCTTGTCATGGATGAGTGCTCTTAAGCCCAGGTCCTTGATAGATGCAGTAGTATGATCCCTTGCACTCTTCGTAATAAGAAGGAACTTCATCCTCTAAGGACGAGATGTAGGTTGCACTCTCTTTCTTCTTCTCTCTATTTATGCTTCTACATAATTTCAGGGCTGAAAAGCACTACTTTAATGAAAAGTTTCTTAAGTACATACCAATGATTTGGTAATGGATGACTTCATTATGGCATTTATTGTTCGATCCGTCATAGATTTTCTTTAAATAGTTTGATTAGGAGTGCAGTAGTTTTTATATTAAAAAATTATGAGTAATAGTGAGCTAATACCAGCTTAGAGGTTTACTCCATCAGATATGATGCTCAAGTCACCATGCAAGAGAGCATGACTTTGATGTTGCGCATGAAGAAGCCCAACTCATTGGTAGCTTACCTCCAGGGTATGGCATTCGCGTACAACTGTTTTCTGGTAAGATCATTCCCTAATGTGCTAAGGTGGTGGCATAACTTGACGGGGTTTGTCGACAACATTTGTATATTTAACTAAGTAATAAGTTGTATATGTATCTTATGAACACAATGTATATTAGTTATGAATTGTCAATAAAAGTTAACCTTCTTAAAACTTTTATTGTTGGGGCATTCACAGTCATCATTATTATTGTAGTGAACAGGTAAACCAGCTTACAAGCTTGGGTAACCACTTGTTTTTCGGTTGGGATGACATATTACGAGCATGGAGCTCTGCCACTTGTGATTAAACCGAGTGGGACCAAGTCGACTGGCTTAAAGCCTCTGTTCCACAGGTACAGGATGGCAAACTCGTATAAGGTGAGGTATAGACACGCATTTTCAAGGATGGATATGTTTGGTACCAAGCACAAATTTTGTGCTTGATAATGAGGTAGCTCATTCCCATCCACTCACTCCTTACATGGGTTGGATAATTAAAGGGTGGTCATTTTCAAGTGGGGACCATTTGAATGAGTGGATGTGAATGAGCCACCTCATTACCAAGCACAAACGCACATATACACATATATATGTATATACATTTATACATGTGTACATATGTGTGTATACACAAATACATATATAGATTTATATACATGTATATGTATATATGTGTATATATGTACATATATGTATATATTTATGTAAATGTATATATATATATATATATATAAGTACATATATGTATATATTTATGTATATATATATATATATATATATATATATATATATATACGTGTGTACATGAAATCATTATTGTTTTTTCATTCTAGTGTTATGAGAATTGAATTTTCGACTGTTATTTGTATTTCTTTAGTTATGTAGATTATAAATCAGTAAACCACTCATTTTTACACCTGATACCCAAAATACTCTTTAAAATCATAGTTTTGAACTGGGTATGGATTGAAATGTAGTCGACCTGTGTCCGAGGAGTCATAAAAAGTGTAATTGAAGTGTATGATATTTGTCCAAAAAGTGTATGACAAGTGATTTAAATTAGGAAAAGCATTACATAATTGAGTACACCTTTTCAATGAACTGTCAGTGTCTGATACAGGCACGGGTACGGTTTCATGATAGAAGTACCCATTCTACATAGCTTATGAGCTTGCCATTTGAAATCAAGATGAGGTTAACTAGCTTAGCAGTTACTGGGATCTGTCGGCAGTAATCCACCTGGCAGGGACGAGATCATATGCCTTATAAGTATGAGTATTTGCCACTTATGATCAGACCTTGCTGGGATGAGATCAATTGGCTTATAAGCACAGCAGTTTGCGTCTCGTGATCTAACATGGCTGGGATAGATTCTAAAGGTAAAAATCGGCATAGTAAAAGTTTTGTATATTATCTTCACCTGTCGAAACAATACCCATGCATAGCATGTGTCATGCATGGTCTCTGTTATTCCTAAAATTCGCCAAGTTGACTTCAGAAGCTCAATGATTTCTTCAACCTCCTGGAATGATAGGGGTAACATAAGAACCAGCTTGTTATCATGAATGTGTAGTAACGTTTAGTTTGGAATAATTTACAAAATTCAAAAACAAAATATATGAAAGGTAAATAGCTACCTCCATAAGCTTTCCCTCATCCAATACATCAAAAACGCTGCTGAGCATTTTCTCATACAGTTTTACATTAAGGTGATAGCCATCAGCCCAGTGGCATACTTCACCGGTTAGATCACCGCGAGCTGGCCTCTCAGCAAGTGAGAGTGCAATCTCTCTGAGTGATCTCAGGCACTCTGTCCGCTGAACCTCGCCAGCCGAAGGTGGAAGACACTACAAAGGATAATAATATAATAAGTAAATCACAAACAATGTTTCGGCAGGCTTACGAGTTAAAATAAATATCAACCAAAAAACAAAACTTGAAAAGAGAAAGTAATATTACTGTACCAAGTTAAATGGCATGTACCTCAGAGTCTTCAATTTTTCTAAGCAGAATCCTCAATTCATTTGCTTTGCGTCCTGATTCTCCAAATCCAACTGCAGGATAGTTTACAAGCCCTTCTTCCAGTATATTTAGCTGAAAGAACAAGAATACTATGTATATGAGTATAGTATGGAAATACAAAATTATAAAAGCACAGTGACAACTTGCCTGCCTCTTTTGCCACCGTAGGTAAGCTTTCTTGTCAGAGAACTCTGTTCGAGAAACACAACATAACAACTCTAGTGGAACCAAGAGATTATCCATTCGTTTCCCCACTTTACCTACAAGAGCATTAAGCAATCCCTGCCTTGTCCTAATATCCATGGCTTCTGAAATCTAGAGAAAAAAAAATAATGACAAAAAATTGGTTGCCAACAGTTAATCCAAGATATGTGTATATCAAAAACAAATTTTATGGTGGAATATAGAAGTTTCTCCAAATCAACAAGTATCATATGAAGCTGGTAAAGGTGAACCCTCAACAAGATGACTCGTAAAATAAGTTATTAAATGACACTTTAATTTAACAGAAGTGTTTGTGCTGCTAACTGAAAACAGGTGGAACAAGTCTTCATGGTTGCGCTAATGCTCATGGAAGTATTATGATGTTACTTAGGTGAAAAAGCTTGCTTATTTCGAGGACACCAATATAGCAATTAAATAGAGTTCATACTGTTTTAATAGTTAATCTCAGCATAAATCCTACTATTCTAAAATTACAAATTGAAATCACCATGATGCATAGGTGTGTCCTCGACTAGGTTACCTAGACACTTCGTTTTGGGTGCCGTATCCGTGTCGGACACATGTCAGACCCGGATTCACCACGGACATGTCATGGACACGTATGGTTTGAAGCAAACGCGACTTCCTCAATAATTATAACCCTAAACTAGTTTCTTTGGTATATCAAACTCAAAACGAATAGGTTTTAAAAACCGGAAGCCATTACTTAACAGATTTGAAAAATATTCATCTCATCCCATGCGATCAAAATTAAACTTTTGTTGTTAAACCTTAATTCTAAGTTTTATTTAACTTGATTCTTAATATAGATAGTAAAAGCAACATACAAATGTTAGGTGTTTTAATTCAATATTCAATCTAATGTAAATATTATATAAATACATGCATATGCATGTGTATGTATATATGCATGTGTATGTATGTGTTTGTGTGTATCCGTGTCCCCGTATCCTGCCTTTTACATATTCATATTCTCTGTGTCCTGTGTCCTCGTCCACACCCGCACCTGTATCCATGTATATGTGCTACCTAGGTCCTCGATCATTGCATAATCTAAATAGAACTTCATAAAGGAAAGCCATAGGAGGAACAGAGATAAGAAGCATGCCTCCAGTTGTGCCCTCATTATCTCCAATAAACCAACCAAACCAGGAGTGCGCTGGGATTGGGAAGTGATACTATCACTCTTGCTACGAGCGAGCTTCTTTATAAACCTAGATTTCTTCTCTTTCTTCTTTTCTTTGGTTGGCACTATGAGACCCCTACACATGAATAAATATATCAGAAAATGGATGAAAACTATAAGACGGCTAAACACATCCGCCTATATTCCATCGACATGTGCATAATTCATTGAACACCGAATTCATAGTAAGTGTAAAATTACGTATATAGGTTACTCATCATGGATGTCAAATTCATACCCGGAAGCCCCTGCAGCAGCCACAAGAATTTCATAGGCAGTTTCACGAAGATCATCATCTGTGATACCTGGAATCAGAAAATAATCGTATCAATATCCTTATCTTGATTGTTTGTTTTTATAAAAGCTCTTCAGGAAAACATATATCACAGAAGAATTCATATGAAGCTTCAATTGCAGACAAGTATTAAAATATTAAAGTACCATAATAAAAGCACTGGGATTATGCTCCTCAAGTCACTAAGTAAATGTTCATAAAGAGAGTCAAAACTATCCCAATATGAGCATCTTAGTTACCCCAGTTTTCTTTGTTCCAAATTTATGACATAAATATAACAGAGTCTCTTGAAATACAGAATCTAATGCGGGCTTCTTTTATGTATATCTTGGGTAGATTTCGATCTATCTGATGACACAGAACATGATGCAAAAGTAGAATCTTAAAGGAGAAATTTTTGTATATATAGAGTGTTGTATCTGTATTTATGCTTCATGTTGGATTATGTATATGAGAGAAGAAATCTTTTTTAAAACATGTGAGATTTGGTGGTATCTGAAATTAGGATTTGAAAGATATTTCACCACATACTTTGATTTGTGAATAGTCATAATCTACTCCCCCACAAATGGACACATGCCAGAAGCTGAACCACATCAGTTTTCATGTCTTTTTCATATCCTCCTTTCTCAATATTTTTATGCTTGGGCTTTGATCGATTTGTTAGTTTCGAGATTTTGCTGTAACTCGTGATATTGCCCCTAGAACCTATGTTGCACAGATGTGAATATTTTGAATACACTGAAATGGACACATGAATGTCTCAAAAATAAAAAATAAATAAACATGATATGACCGTCCAGAATGCATGGAGCATGACATGTCTTTACAATGGAAGATTTGTGCTATATAGCATAGTGCTATCAAGTAACCAGAATGAGAAAACATTGGTTGAGTTATCTCTCTTTCTTTTGAACATTCCCATGTTATAGCATACCGAAAATAGCTTGTGATTCAGCACATAAGTAAACAAATTCCATATACGTATGCTGAGTGCATTTAACATGATGTTTATAGATAATGATGAATGTTTAAACTACAAATGCAGGCTCAATAATATAGCAGGAGAAACCCAAGAGCGTCTAGCTGAGTTGGTAAGCTGCCTATAAGTAATAGGTCAATGTCTTAGGTGCGACTTTACTGGGGAGCACCAACCAGGAATTTAATTTCCTGGAATACCCAAGGCCCTGTATTGGCGGGTGCCCCTTAGCCCTGCTCAAGGGTTTGATACCCATGGTCTGAACAATTGTGGGTAAGTTCCCCCGTTAAACCAAAACAAAAACAAAAACAAAAACATATATAGCAGAGGAAAATTTTACATAAAAATGTTGATCTAACCATGGAAAACCTAATTATGTGTGTTGTTATTTCACATACTGGCTACAGCACAGAAGGAATCAACCTTCCCCTGCAAGTTTGCATGGGCCCAGCAAGTCTAATTCAAAAAGGTTGATGGACCTAGCAGTTCTTACTTCAGTGTGAGCAATCATGGAAGAATGACACCACTATTAGATACTTATGTTACAAAAAGATCCATTAAATGCAGTTACTCTTCTCCATATCCCCAAAGTAGGAGCAGAAACATTGCAGTTAATGCCAAAAGGGAACAAGAGAATATTGAAGAAACATATAACAGAAATGGATAATATGACTGAGGAGATCAGTGATTTAGATAACAAGAACTGCAGGATTTACTTAAACAATCTTAAAGAAATGGTAAATTTGCATATGATATCCCACGACTATATCTAGAAATGCAGCCATTCAACTTGCATACAGACATTCAATACCCCTGGATTTCCTACAGTCCTTAATGATGCAACTTTAAATCTACAACGAAGATCACATGAAATGCGCGTGACATGACATCACTGACATTACTTGTCCTAGCATTCAAAATGGTCTTTGGAAAAGTTCATCAATTTCAGGCTTCAATGCATTCCTTTTGTATCAGCATGTTTAGATTTGACACAACATATTTTGGTACTTAAATTTATCTTCTTGATCCTTGTAATGAGCATTTTTAATTCTTGCATAGTATCTTTACTTGAATAACTAAGTCTTAATAAGCACATATTTGTTGTTACTTTCTAGAATTATTTTCTTAGATATTAAAATTTTTATTACATGTCTTTGTGATGATTCCAGTGCATTATTTACCATTTTTTACTAATTTTGAACCATCTAGAGTTTCTCCTATATTATATTTTCTTAATTTTCCATTTTTCTATTCTCTTTTATTTTTGTTACCTTAGCTTTATATTTATGTTGAAATTTCCTTGCACTTTTTGATAATATTATAACCCCAGCTAAAGCCCATAAACGCCTAAAGGATACCCAACCTCTTTGCTCCACTGTACTTTCCACAACATTGTTTGGTTCAGATCCACCGCCAAAACAAATCAAACTAATTCCATTAACAATGAAATCCCCAAGGCTTAAACCTTCTCTTAGGTAGTTGAGAAACAAACACCATACTGGTCTAAAAGAGGGCTCCATGAACAAAATGGCTCACAACTTTCCCACTGACTTGTATAGCACCGAATTACTTCAATTAAGGGGTTTGGCCCAAGATTTCTCCGTTAGTTAAAGTATTAATGTGTCATTAGCTTCCCCTATCATTCTTGATGGTTAAAGTAATTGAAATATTTCTAGCTATCTGACCAGCAAAGAGATAACTAGTTAGTTGATAATTGTCAGTCAAAACACCAAAAGGACAGCTATAAGGGGTATCTGCAGGATGATAGATTGGTAATCCATGATGATTTATGTCCTGCTTAAGGTTTGAGGATATTTGAGACACGTTCAGATTATTATTCTTTTGTACCCTGATTCCCATGGACAAATTTTTAGATTCTTCTTTGGGTTTGATGGCATAGGACATTGGCAGTTATCAAAACTTAAATAGTTAGGCTACATAAGCATTTACTGGGTCTTCCTAATCAAAATTTACCTGTTTCAAACAAAGGCAATCCTAATGAGAGAGCACTAGCATCATTTGACTGTCTTCGCGATGCCCTGATGCTATTGACTTCTTCTTCATCTTCAAAATCATCAATATCGTCTATGGATAACTCTTCATCTTCTTGAGAATGGAAGGACTCTGATTTTGATAAGACTGGCATGACAGGGGCTGCTGAAATAATTGGTGTGGAGATAGGAATTGGTGCAGAATCAGGAATTGGTGGAGGTGCACGAGCTGGGGCTGAGCCTGATGATTCAGGATTTGTAACTAAAAAGAACTCTTCCCTAGATGCTGTACTGGCCTATAAAAAAAATTGAAAATAAGTTAGTGCACCTCCCTCCATCCACTGTAATACCTTAACTATTGGTTTTGTAGTCCAGTCTATAGTTGTTTATGCCACAAAAGATTCTTGATAAACACGCTGTAATATTGTATCTTACCACAGAAGGGTACTCAAGGCTATCATGATACAGCCTAATGGCTTCTGAGAGATCAAGTTCTTCACCTACATTACCAAAGGGCACGCGTAAATTCCAACTCCATGAGTGTAAAACAGAAAAGAAAATTTCATTACCTTTCCGCACACAATTAAGAACATAATCGACACTGACTTGATCTATATCCACATCATCCAGTGAAACTGCTCCAGGTGGCATTACAACTTTCTTAATTAAGTTACCCGAGAGAATATAATTAAGGAGTACATGTCGGTCTCTTCGATAGTGTTGGAGAAACTGGAAAACATTTTCCCTGAAAACGGTGGAAAATATTAGAACTAATGAGTTAAAAGCAGAAACAAATAAGCTAGCTTTTAGAGTGTATTTACTCTTCCATGGATGCTGTATAAGCTGTTTTCACTCGAATAAGTTAGCTCCCAAAGATTCTGCACCAGTCAAATAACAATTTAAGTCCTAGGTTGTCAAAATGCCAATTCACAACCCGAGATCTTGTAAAATAACCATGACAATAAAGAAATTCCCCACAAAATAACCTCAAACAGAGCACTTTCATCAGCAATTCAATCCTAACCGAGCATATTACAACTAAAGAAATCAATAAATATCAACTTTTGATTGTAAAGATAACCCAGAGCAGGTTATGTGCACAAATTAAATCTCCTCTAAAACTTTACGAAAAATCAAAGCAATGCCTCACAATGCAGGCAACAGTACTATAATGGAAACCATAAGAAGCTCAAAGCAGCAATTTTTACAAACCCTAGCTTGTCAAAACGCAACTCACAACCCAAGAGCTCGTAAAATAGCGATAAAACTCAATAAACTCCTCCAAAATAATCTCAAAAGCAGCGGTTTTCTAACACTTTAATCCTAACAAAGTATTACAACTAAAGAAAACAACAAATTCAATAAAAAACAGAAAACTTTACCAATGAAAGAGCAAATCTAGCAATCCGTTACAGGGAGCTAGTCAAAGTAGAGAACAAATGAGATCAAACAGTTGGAAATTTGATTTAATAAAGTACCTCTCGCGATGCAGCGCATCAAATATTGGATCTTTGGTATTACTATTTTTGGAAATCGGAAGAAAATGAGGAGAATGGAGAAATGGGGAAGGAAAAGGGTGAGAAAATGGTAAGTGGAGAGAGAGCGGGCGCTGAATAGAATGACTTTTCTAACGTGCGCGCCGCCCTGAGAGAGGTGGAATTAGGAAATAGGAGTGAGGATATCAGGCTACTCTGTAATGCTAGCTGTACTCGTAGAATAATGTGGGAGTGGATTAGATTTTAGGTGGGGATAGTTCACGGATCAGATTTGGGGTTTAGGGTCTGTTTGTTTGCCTTAAAAAAAATTGGGAAATCAAAGAAATTGAAAACTATTTCTAAGAAGAAATGTTTTGAGAGTGTTTGGTTTGCTAAAAAAAAGAATAAAATCAAAAAAATGGAGATGGGATGAGATGAGTTGTCATCTTATTATAGGATGATGTGAGTGATTTTTTAAGAAAACTTGTTTTGATGTTGTTTGATTGGCCAAAAAAATAAGGAAATGAATTATAAGAAACTTATTTCTTGTAATATGTTATTTTCTTTTGTTTGGTTCATTCTTTAAAATAAGAAAATAGATGAGATGAGATGAGTTGTCCTTATATTATTGGATGATGTGACCCACACTTAAGGAAATCGTTTTCCTAGCTTTTTGAGAGGAAATTGGTGGAAATAAAATATTAATGAGATGAGATGAGTTGTCACCATCTTATTGGATGATGTGAGTGATTTGAAATGATGAGATGAGATGAGTTAAGGGGCTGTTTGGTTGTTGTTGGTAAAGTTGTGTATTTATGACACAACTTGGAAAGTTATTGTCCACCTCATCAATTTTACTTTTATACTTTTCTTTGTTTGTTTTTGATTCCATTGGAATCATAAAACACTTGTTTGGTTTGCAAAATAAAACTTTAATTGTTTGTTTGGAAAGTGTAAAAAGTGGTCCCTACTCAAATGATCATATTGGTTGGAATTATTTTTTCTAAACTTCAATGTCAGCTTTCTCCTAAAATCATGTCTTTTTTTTATAAAATCACTTTACAAGTCACATCAGCATATGAAATCACTTTACACTATTTTCACAACTACAAACAAACAATTGAAATTGATGAAAGCTGACATTGGGACCCACTTTTTTACACTTTCTATCCTTTTACATGGTAAAAACATACAACCAAACGGGCCCTAAGTGATGTTATGGATGAAAATAATATTTTATTAGAGGTGATGGATGAGTTGTTGGATGAAAATAATATTTTATTAGATGTGGTGGATGTGATGGATGAGTTGTTTGATGAAAATAATATTTTATTAGATGTGGTGGATGAGTTGTTGGATAAATATAATATTTTATTAGATGTTGTGAGTGAGTTTTAGGGATGGAAATGAATGAAAATTGTACTTTTTGAGTTTTCTTGGTTTTCATTTCTATTTCTTGGTTTTTTAGGAAATAATCGAACAGACCCTCAACAGGAAACACATTTAGACGACTACGTATGAGACGCGTCTGTGGTCTATTTGCTCAGTTCATAATTCTCATTTGCTATTGTGGCGCATGTGCTTTGTACGAGAGTATATCTATTTTGTTTTTAGTTTTTTAAATTTTTTTATTGTCTGTAAAATACCGAATTGACTTGTATAGCAATAGAAATTCTGAACAATTATAAATTTTTAAATAAATAAATTGCACGATAAAATTGTGTATAAATAACTGTACAATTAATTATTATAATTTCGATAATTGTTATAATTTATTCATATAATTTATTAAAATAATTTTAATATATTAACTAATGTATTATCTTTTAAATATAATAATATTATACATAGCATAATTATAATACTATTAATAACTACATTTAAAATTTTCATAATTAGTTTATTACACTATTAGTAAATAATTCACTAATTTGTATAATTATTAAATTGCAATGTAATTTATTAATTTAAAAAACACTCTTAAAATCATTATACTATTAATACTATTATAATTAGAATAAATACAAATTGTTTTTCATACTATTATCATACTTTAAAAAGACTAATAAGATCAAAGGTAACATGTATTCCTCCATAAGATGTGAAACCCAAAGTCATAAGGTATAAGCCTATTGAATTTTTATTGTTTTTAATTTTTCTAGAATTTAAATATTATGTGAAAATTAGGGATAAATTTCAAATATTCTATTAAATAACATAATTAAATAATAAAATAATAGTGTGGCCGAAGGTTTTGAAAAGTGAGGAAATGCATAATTAATAAGAGGTTATATATAATTAGTGAATGATTAATTACAATTAATGACATGTTTGAGAATTATCAAACTTAAAAGGGCAAAAGTGGAATCCTCTTTTATATGTAGTGTAGATGTAGATGTAGATAGATGTAGATTAGTATTAGTTGCCTTTATAATTTTTTGGCTAATAAGCATTTAAATACCTTATTTCCTCTTCCTTGCACTTACATATTCTCACTTTTTTAATAAGTTGCATTTTAAGTAAACTCGAGAATTTGCTCTTGGATTTTCTCATGTGGCACTCACTAGCTAGTTTTATAACTTTTCAAGCATTAACGTTTGTTGAATTATTGTTAACCTACCGAAACTTTTTTTAATTATAATTTGGGTGGGTTAAAATAAAATTAGATTATGTTTAACAGAAAAATTCAACAAACATTAAGATTTAAATTGTTCTGATATTAGCTTGAGAGAGACTCATTCAACATGGGAAAAAATTCTCGTGTTTACATAATAAAAGGTATTAAAATGTGACTTTAAGAAACTTAAGGGTATGTAAGCGATGTCAAAAACAAGTGATGATATATAATGTGAAGTAAGGGAAACTATAAGGTATTTGGGTGCAAATTAGCCTAAGCTTTTGGATTTACTCCGAGTGTTTGATATTGATTTAGAAGCAATAACATCAGGTTGAAGAGAAATCCAAACGCAAGCAGAAACACAACCACGATCAAGCAAAAAAGTAGAACCAATGACAAAGATATAACATGGTTCGGCCATATTACCAGAGATTATGAAATGTTCGCTTCTCGCATTCTATAAAGAATCTACCTCTGCTTCTTATCTGTATCATACAAATAAGGACAAATTTTCAAAACTAATCATTTTACAAAAATATTCCCCAAAAATGATATGTTTCAACTTTAATTACCAAAACCGACATAGTTTCAACCTCAGGGCTGAAACTTGATCGATTTTGGCGAAAAAAATTCCCAAACTTCACGGGAGTTAAAATCCCGTGAAGTTTTTTACATAACAAAACTTCACGGGACTTGAACCTAGTTTCAGCCTCAGGGCTGAAACTAGATCGGTTTTGGTAATTAAAGTTGAAACATGTCGCTTTTTTAAAATAAGTTTCAAAAAGAGTTTGTTTTGAAAATTTGTCCTACAAATAAATCTCTAAAAAAATATTTATAATAACTTTTTCTCCTGTATCGAACTCATACAGTGACTCCTTATTTTACTAGATTATTCAAGTCTGTGTGACCTCGCACAATGCACACTAGATCCGTGACTTCAAATTGCAAGGCAGCAAAAATGAATCAGTTATTAACGAACAAGTGCAAATATGCCAAAATTTCATCAGATCGAAGATGGCTAAAATACAATTGCATTACAAGTTGAACAATTGAACTGGCCAACTACATTTCCTGCCATCAAAGCCAATCCCAGTAGTCTCCATGGATACGTTTATACTTCAGTGTTGTGATGATCAAACAATGCTGATCCATGTCCTAAACCTGACTGCAGGACACAACCCCAAGAGCCAACAGCCACAGCAGAGTCCGAGACGGCGTGATTTTCTGTGGCCATTGCTAACGATTCTTGAAAAGTGAAGATGGTTTGGGACCGGTGAGTTCTTGGGTCATATGGAGGTGTGGACGACGGGACAACAGGCGTCTCTTTGCAGGATCTGCTCGTGAAAACTGTCTCAAACCAGAGGGCGATCCCATAGCACCAGACTGTTCTTGATTTTTCGATGCTTGTGGTTTCTTGAAGGTTGGGTTTGAGCTCCAACTCACAGGTTGCCGTGAAGTCCGTATCGTTCCGGCTCATGGTCACCATATCCAAGAACTGGAATGGGAAAGGAAATGATAATAACGTAAGGTCTTATATAGTATTGTCAATCTATGTAAGTTGGTATGAAGATTAGATTTGCAAATAGCTGATTTGGCTTCGGTAAGGCTCAGCTTGGACCCTGATATAAAATACATCGCTGGAGTAACAATTATACATAGGCTTAGTGTTTCTTAGAAATTATGTACATCAGTAAAAGCTAGCGAGCAGAAATATCTTGAAATGAAAAAAGTCTAGAACTCAGGATTATTGCATTCCACACACAATAAAGGTTCAAAAAGAAAGGTTACAAGGGAATAAAAGGTGATGTAGGTGTACTTGAACCATGAAAAATGTAATGCAAAGCTTTCTACGCAGGGTTAAGGGAGGATGGTTCATGAAAGGGTAAACCACGCACTCAGATGAATTATTGACTCATGCAGGTTTTTGCCATCGGATATAAATTTGGAGAAGTATGAACATGTTTATTTGATGCCTTTACCCTCACTCAGATATTCTCTGAGTGAAGTTAAGGTTTTTAACAATCCGAGGTAATTAGTGTTACTCATGCATATCATTACCTTTAAATTGATTTCGGTGGCTAATCTAAGACTGTCTGTTCAAACCTTCTGCATTGCATGTTAGAAAGGAACTCAACGGACCTGAGAAATTGAGTTAGAAGTAAAAACCAGATAAGAGTGATACCAATTATCAAAACTGCAACAACCATGTAGAGACTTTCTTGCTCTTAATATATTATAACATAATAATATATTAAAGAATATGCCTTGTTTATCCTAAGTTTTAGACCCGTGGCGTAAAACAGCTGTGGCAATCTTATAGCAGTATTATAATGCTAGCTGGACAACCGATAACGGAACAGTATAAATAATCTAAGGCACAGTCACTTACCTTGAGTGAAGCTGACTTCATTACTATATCTTTGCTGTCCACTACATCGACAATGGGGGCTTTAGCAGCATCCTCTACGACTTCTTTGCCAATGCATGACATGTTGAAACCATACACATTTTCCCAAG